TTAGGATGGCTTGTATACAAACCCATTGTGGATGAGGAATCAGACACTTACAGACGACCAGTCCAGCATGTGACAACATTAAGCAGAGACAGCCATCCATTTTCAGACAGTATCCAAAGTCGGGTCACAGGGACAGCAGCCTAAGCTGAGAGGCCCAGACTTCCCGCTCCCCAGCGAGTTGGGCCAGCTCCTCCGGGGGAATCTCAAGGCGTTCGCTGGCCAGCCGAGAGACATGGTCCCTCCAGCTTGTCCTGGGTCTTCTCTTGGGACCCCTCCAATTTGGACGTGCCTGGAAAACCTCTCTAGGGAGGAGCCCGAGCCACCTCAACTGGCTCCTCTCAACATGGCGGAGCAGCGGATCTACCCCAAGCCCCTCCCAGATGACCAAGCTTCTCACCCTGTCTCTAATAGAGAGCCCGGCCGCCCTGCAGTAAAAACTAATTTCAGCCGCTTGCATCCGCGGTCTTGTTCTTTCGGTCACTACCCAAAGCTTGTGAACAAGACCCCGAGATACTTAACCTCCTCCACTTGAGGCAGGACTTCATCCCTGATCTGGAGAAGTTCTACGTTTTTCCGATTCAAGACCATGGTCTCGGATTTAGAGGAGCTGAAAATTTATTCATAAAGCATCACCATGGTCAAAAACCAGAAAGAGTTGTGTTTCTGCTTTAAACTAAATTAAAAGCAATGTATGTTTCTATAATAAAAATCCTAATTAATGTTTGTGGTTTTTGCAACAGTTAATGCTTTTCCTTCAAAAATGATTGGTTGTCGGATAAAATCACTAGATAGTTACTGTATAATGCTTGTACTTGTTGGAAAAGGGTCGGCCACACTGAGTTTCACATGCATGCGAACATGGTCTTCAGCTCCTAGCATTATGAGCTGATGGAAACTAAATGGGGAAAGGCTCGGGGATTAGAAAAAGCCACACAGCTTTATGCCACACTGGAGTTTTTCATGGACTCCCATCATGTCTCATGACCGGAGAAGGTTTATTGATTTTTGCAGCCAGGAGAGAGCAGAGCACGTCTCGGAAAGTAGGAACTAACTGTTACCATTAGCAACTCCACAACTCGTTTAGGCTTGAGTTATTTGTGGCGATAAAACATTAGCATTGCAGAGCTATTTAAGGCAGTGGAATAGTCATGTTGCTGTTAGCCAATCAGAGGTAAGATGTTTGCATACCATGACATAAGGACCAAGACACAAAATCTTGCCATCGCTGCCCCCACTCCTCCAATAACTTCTGCAAATGTGTGTGTGTGTTTAAAATAATTAAATTAATCTATTTGTTCTAAAAAATATATTTACATGAGTCATTACGACTTTTTGAGAATTGGGGCAGTTTTAAAGTAACAGGAATACACTTTTTTCTGAGCTGCACATAAACAAACTGTAAGATCATTAGCCTTCTTGGATGCAAACTCTGTTTCTCAGAACAGAGTCCATTCAGAAGCTGCCTATTACTAGAGAAGATAGTAATTTTTACAGCTTTTGCATAGAGATACACACTTTAAAATACTTTTTACAAAATGTTTTTCTAGATACAACAGCATCCATGACAAGATGAGAAACAGCAGCTTTAAGATTAAATGACTGGATACATTTCATTGTAGAAAGCCTTTTTAACATTTCCCATGTTGCCATGCCAACACATCTCACTCTTGCTTATAGTACAATCTCCGATGACGCTGATAGATTATGCTTTAGTTTCCACTACAGTGTCATATTTTTTATCATTAAAAACTTGCAAAGTGGACCTCTGAAACAGCATCGATATGTGACGAATCAAGAGTGAGAAAAGGTCGTCAAGCTGCTTTGAAATGGCAGAGGGGGGGGGGGTGTTGTGAAATGCTAAAACCTAACCTTCACGTTGTAAAGATGTGTTTAGTGATGACATCATTAACTCACATGCATTTCAACATTTCAATAACTTTTTTAAATATTTGGTTGTATTTATTTGTGTTTATTTTATAATTAAAACTAAAAACTTGACCAGATTAACCCAGTTTTCCCTAAAGGCATGTACAGTTTTTCCGCACACGCAATATATCTTGTGCTTCTGTGTTTATTAAAGGCAGATCAATACAAGGCAAGTGGGTTATGTTTTTAGATATGAGTGAAGAGTTGATAATGCAGTAAGCAAGCGTATCTCCCTGAGTGTCTCAGGCTTCAATGACATTTTGCAGTGACACTTCCTCTGCAGCAACATCACATTGTGCAAAATCTCACTTAATGCCGTACCATTTGGCACGGCGGTTAACTATTAACTTCCCTTTGTGGATGGTACAAAAGAGCTAAAACGTGTCACACTGGGCTGCATGTTGCCCCCTTGCCCGAGAGAGAAGAATGAAAAAAGTAAGTGATTTAAGGAGAAGAAGTAATAAAGAGAGCGAAGGCAGAAGCAGGAGAATGGTAAATCATTGGCAGATCATGCTTCATGCAAAACCCTCATGAATAAAACATATTCCAAGCCTCCTGTAGCTCAGATCCATTTTTCCTTCGTTTTCTCTTCTTCTCTCTCTATCTCTCACACGCATGATTAACCTCGGGAGGCCTTAATCAACACTGGAAATGACCCGTGCTCCTTGACTTACCTCTCTCTCCTTCCCTCCTTCACCTCATCTTCTCCCGTCTCAACACGCCCTCCCCCACAGCGTTCTCAGTGATAGGGTTCACCCCACCTGCTAACCCAGCAGCCAGACACTGTTTGAGGGTTAGATTTTTTTCTATACCTGTGCAATGAATTACCTGTAAAGAAGGAGCAAAATGACAGAGGATTCTGACTGAAATTGAAAGGAGAAAATCTGTTAATGGCATAAAGATTTTGTTTCTCATCTTAACTTCCAACAACCGTGTTGTAGTCGTGTAATGATTTGTAGTGATAAATACTAAATGTCTTGCTTTGTAATCCTTCCACATAATTGTATAAACATGGCAAAGTACAAGCTGAAGAAACAGTGGGAGCTGTTTGTGGTCCTGGAACCTGGGAAGCCACCTCTTGCATCAGGAACTATCCGTGGTTCTGAAATATAGGAGACAGCCAGTTTTGCCAACTGTTTTTGGCTCAAAGTAGCTGAAGTTCCCCCAAAAGTCGATAGATGTGGCCAGATTACGTCATGTGCTAATTTACATATTGATGACATCATCACGCCACATTGGCATTCATTTTACCCATAGCATCTAAAAGATAAAAGGGAGGAAAATAACAAAAACTATGTTATGTGTTAAAGTTATTAATTAGTATGATTAAAATGGCCCAAATTACTTTGATAAGTACAATAAATTCCAAAATTATCAATAAAGTGACATTAAGACAGATATGGTGTGGGGATCCAAACAGTTCTGTTGTAGGATATAACTCAGACCTCCTGCTCTCATTCTCACAGCCATTTTCCTAATAAGCAGTTTTTTACACCTCATAGTTTCTCAACTTCTCTGCTGTGTATTCTCTCCATCGTGATAATAACGACGCACCGAGCAAAAGGGAGCAGGTGTCTCATAGTATAACCATCCCTGTGTCACTGAAGAAAATTCAGATTAGCCACAGAGCTGCGTGTGTAAACGGGGCGGCAGTTGAAACTCCCGTTGACTTTATTTGCCAAATAAAGGCAAAAAGCCAAAGTGTCTGACGGCTACAGAACCAGAGATCGCAGGTTGACACCTGTGCCATCTCTAGTAGAAGCATGAGCCTGCAGCAGACGTAAATCGGTGGTCTCCAGCTTTGCAACTGTACCTTTGTCTCCGGCAAATCGGCCCGACCAAAAATGGTTCATGATTGGTCAGTCCTCGTGCACATGTGCAGATTATCGTTCTCTTTCCTTACTCCCAGAAGAACGGTTCAGACTGCAAATGGTTTCTTTGTTGCTAATCTGTAGGGAATATCTAAAAGAAAGTTCTACAGAAAGTAGCAACGGGTCCTGAGAAATGTCGCTAGGTTTGTCGCTAGGCGCTTTTTGGAAAAAAAGTCGTTGAGGGGGGTCAAAAAGTCGTTGGGAACTGGCAACACTGGAGACAGCTTCTTGCATCAAGAACTATTAGTGGTTCTGAAACATAGGAGGCAGCTTGTTAGAGCAGGAACTATCCATGGTTCTGAAACCTGTGAGGCACCTTCTTAGATCAGGAACTATCCGGGGTTCTGAAACATGGGAGGCAGCTTCTTAGATCAAAAACTCTCCATGGTTCTGAAACAAGGGAGGCAGCTTCTTAGATCAGGATCTATCCATGGTTCTGATACATGGGAGGTAGCTTCTTGGATCAGAAACTCTCCATGGTTCTGAAACAAGGGAGGCAGCATCTTAGATCAGGAACTCTCCATGGTTCTGAAACATGGGGGGGGGGGGGCAGCTTCTTAGATCAGGAAGTGTCTGTGGTCTTGAAACCTGTGAGGCACCTTCTTAGATCAGGAACTACCCATGGACCTGACACGTGGGGGGCAGCTTCTTGCATCAGGAATTGCCCATGGCCCTGAAACCTGTGGAGCAGCAGCTTACATCAGGAATTATTCATGGTCCTGAACTCCTATCTCAGCTCTGGTCACACAGAAACCTAAATCTCGACCCCCTGCTCGGTTTTCACTCAACATATGCAGGTGTTTTACACATGGACTCAATTCCACAGGGAGCGAGTTTTAATTGGCCTTCTCATTGTAGCTAAGGTTTTAATACTTCAGGCTAAATGCACCCTGTGTGTTCAGTGTTAGGGTCCAATTTAGCATAAATATTCACTGGTCAGCCTCTGTGGACATTTTCTTTGTGATTAGTGAATATGTTTGGTCTTTAATTTTTTTATGAGAAATTAATCAGATGTTCATCTTATTTTGCTTCAATCCCATTGTTGAAAATTCATACAGATCTTACATAATTTAGTTGTTTGGTATTCTATGCTCATAGTTTTGAACTAAAAGTTGTGAACAGTGCTTAAGTCTGACGACTGAATCAGTTGTCCTCTTTCTCCCTAAATCCTCATCTTCTCTACTTGGTTGTGTTTTGCTGCAGGTGTCAGTGGTCAGTATCCTCTGGTTCAGAATGTGACCGTGACAGAGGGTGGAACGGCGAACATGACCTGCCGTGTGGAGTACAATGACAATACCTCCCTCCAGTGGTCAAACCCAGCACAGCAGACTCTCTTCTTTGGGGACAAGAAAGGTGAGTTTGGGATTGACAGACACTAGCGCCCACAAGACATGATCGCTATGTGACTGTAAGAATGAAGATGCTGTTGTTTTACTGTGTTCTTTGTTGTGTCAAAGCCTCTCTTTGAGCTAGTTTTCACAGCAGGGGTCGGTTACAGTCTGGACACACACACATACACCTTTTGTAGTCTAAATCATTTAATCTAATGATAGATTGCGTGAGGCTGCTGGTATTTTTAGCTCATCCTATATATGGAACTGAAACCTCCATTTCTGACTTGTTTGTCCAGAGCAGGATAACCAGTGGTGGGGCTTTATTACCTGCCATGAGCAATCTGGACACTTTAATGAGTCTTCTTGTTTGTGCATGCCCCAGTTTTCTTGGAGCATGTTTCAAACATGGAGCTACAGTAGCTGTGATGGCTGCTGTCATTTCTTTCTTTCTTTCTTTCTTTCTTTCTTTCTTTCTTTCTTTCTTTCTTGCATATTTCAACTACAAACAGGATCAGAACAGTTTCAAATTGAAGCAGATCAATATGGAGTTGATTTTCCGAACTATTACAAAAAAAAACTTAAAGGGCTGGAAACATTTTGCCCCCCATGGTGGTTTTGTGTACTTGAGCGTTGTAGGTTAGTGGGGGGGGGGGGGGGGGGGGGTTTCAAACAATGAAGGTTTTCAAGTCTTTGCTTTAAATGTGCATACAGACGGACCAGTTGTGCATCCGGTGTCATTAACTATTATGAATTTTATTGAAAGGAATCATTCATTGCATCCATCTATAACTAGGGATGGGTACCTTTGACATTTGAATCGATTTGGTACTAATTCCCGGTACCTAGGAATCGATACTGGTACTTAACGGTACCAATTTTCAATACTTTTGAGTGTTTATTATTTTAATTCTCTTTTATAATTAAAAATATATTTTCTCAATATATAACAATATTTGATAAATATCACGATAAATAACATTCAACTGTTTGTATTTTAACATTTTTGTAGTTTTATAAGCTGATAATTAAACTGAAGCAAACATCTTTACTGTGAACTAAATTTACTGTGTATCTTCATTCCTTTTGCCGTCCTTTTTCTTCGATTTTTTCCTACTGGGAAGTTAGAATTTCCGAGGAGAAAGCGAACGCACCATTAGCGGAACGGAAGCTAACATATCAAGCTAACGTTATCTTAAACATTTTATTTACCTACCGGAGCAGATTAAGATGAGGATGTCTCACTTAGATCGTTGTCACTGGTTTCATCATCACCCAGTTACCCGTCACATTTAGTGAAGTGGACCCAAGCTTTAGCCTGCGTTCTTTCTACCATGCTGCTCTGTTTACAACTGGCTCGCAGCGACCGATGACATAACGCTCTTGCGCATGCGCAGCTGTCTAGGCGAGTTCTCGTTATGAAGGACAGGTAGCGAAACGAGGCACTGTTTGAAATGACGTGAATCTGTGCTCGGTCGGTACTATGGAATTCAGTCAGTACCTTAAAAAGTACCGAATTCGGTACCCATCCCTATCTATAACTGATTTACTCTTGGAGTCAACCCAGTGCATGTTGGCAACCACTGTCACTTTTATATTTTTTAACACAGTTTTTATACTTTTAGCAAAATCATTTAAAAATGGGTTTCCTATTGAAACCACATCATTTGTGGTTGTTATGTTAAAACCACGTTAAGGTTTTATTTGTCCAACAGAGCCAGTGTCTCACACATAAGGGTGTGGCAGTGGTAACACTAACAGTTTTAATCTGCCAAAGAGATTAGATCTGTAGTTTGACAGTAAAACCCTGCATCTACTGTACACAACAAAATGAAAGAAGGTTGATGTGGAAAACATGGATCTAAGTCATCTGTGTCCACTCACAGCCTTACAGTTGTGCAAAGTTGATTCAAGCTGTAGTTTTATTTGGTTCAGTGGTTTTAACTCAAGGATTTAAGTGTGTATGCACTTGATAAACTGCACACATTCTTGGCTGTTTGGTCTCATTCTCACCATAGCTTCCTTTTAGAACCTTCCACAATAAGTCTAGTGTTTGTGAAATAATTTCTATCTCTGAAAGTACTTTTTGTGTCAAGTTTAAAACGTATCAACAACAGTAAATAAGATTATTCACATTCACTTAATATTTTGTCAACATCAGAATTAGAAGGTTTCATTGTTATATGTGTGAGCAGGTTCACAACATTAGGAAACTGCTGTGATACTTGGTGCAAAAAGTAAAACATAAGCACGATAAAATAATGATTTTGAGCAACGATAATTAGATGAATGACCTATAATTACTTATATAATAAGACAGTGATCAGAGCAGAACAGTCAGGTACAACACAGCAAACAACACAGGGTCAAGTGACTGAAACAAAGCGACTGGCATCAACCGACCTATAATTGTTATTCATGCATTCATTCAACTGCAGAGGGAAGGAAACTCTTCTTGTGGCAAGAGGTTTTGGTCCAAATGAATCAGAATCTCCTGCCAGAGGGGAGCAAGTTGAGAAGACTGTCCAGGGTAGGATGGGTTTGCTGTAATCCAACCTGCACACCCTGATGTCCTGAAGGTGTACAGGTCCTGTATAGAGGGGGGTTTGCAGCCAATGATCTTCTCAGCAGAGCTCGACACGCTGCATAAGATGAACATAAGATGATCTTAATTTAAATGTCTGAATTGAATGGCAGCAGATGTGTTAAAGGAATGGATTTTAGCCCATTTGCAACATTTAACAAACAGTATTTCAAAATAAAAGCCATGTGGGACTAACTAGACTGGGTTGTGACGTAATTCCTTAACACTAGAACTCCCAGTGAGCCATCTACCAGAGAGCTGCCATTTGGCACCGTTGTTTTCACCTAGCATTCCTAATCACTTGTGAGTGTTTGCCTTTTGTTCTGTAAATCACTTCAGGAGATGCTGGTGCTCCCCTCACCTCCCCCTCTGGTAAAAACCAGGCAGAGACACAAGACTACTCAACATGTGTCCAGTCAGAGGCTACATGCAGGATATAGTGACAGAGCATACAGGCATCTGTAAAACGTGATTTTTTTTATTACTATGTTTGTAGCTTTTAATAGCTTATGTTGCATTCACAACATGTGTGCTTATCTGAAGTCTTCACAGTCAGTCATACAGTGATCCCTCGCTACTTCGCGGTTTGTTTATCGCGGATTCGCAAATTTTTTCTTTGGAGCCTTATTCAAGGGAAATTCGCTGATTTGCGGTATTTTTCACCGATTCGCGGTATTTTTCTATGCGAAATATCAAGAAATTCCTGTTTTTTTTTCATCAATTTCATCATAAAATGCACTTTTTGTAATAAAACTATAAATAAACCAAGTAAAAATAAATTCTATGTAAAGGGAGGGTTTTAAAAGTCTGAATACTGAATACGTACCTGTTAAATAAATACTGTAAATATGGTGTCCCTACTTCGCGGATTTTCACCTATCGCGGCCAGGTCTGGAACGCATCTACCGCGATAAACGAGGGATCACTGTACATTACTTTGGGTGGGCAAGTTCAGTTGACCAGATTCAACAGAAACCCTTTTTACAAAAGGGCCACAAAATGCTCAGGCAATCCAAGAAAGCATTATGGTTTTATTAGAACAATAAAACTTCAAATGCACAAGCCTTTGTGAATGTTTTGTATTGCAACTCAAACAGTTTGGGGGGAATAATGCAGGTTAACTGCAATGCAGGCTTCAATTGTCTAGGTTCCAAAAGAAGGTTCATAACAGCTGCGATGAAGCTGCTTTTCAGGTGTTGAAAACAAGCCAGACTCTTGAAACGGCTTCAGGTGATCAGCTAAATCAAAACAGAATTTATTTTTCAGGTTACCTGGCTGAAATTGCATGTAAAAAGAAACTGTGAAAAGTGAAACTTCTTCAATCCTTTGAGTTTTGACGTGATGTGTTCTCTGTCTCTGCTGAAGCCATGTTCCTTGAGTTTTTAGACAAACCCTCAAAGAGGTGGCAGTCCATCAGAGTTCCTGAGAATTGTCTGGCTACTTCTGCCTCTGCTCGTAAAGACAGAAGTTCACAGATCTTAGGTCACTCCAATTAGCCATGTCCGCTGGTTGTTTACTAACTTTCTCATGTTTACGTGGTTTATATACTCTTTCCGGTCGGGGGTCGCCACACATTTGCTACGTCATTTGACATCTTCCTCTGTTGTGCCAAGGCGCAATCGCTGTTTATAGCACAGACAATTACCGCAATATTACTACCAAGCGAGGCGCAACAAGTGCAGCAAAATTCGCACAATGTCATGCCAGCATGGAGTGTTTATAAAACACACTGTTGCAGTAATGTTACGCTGATTTGCCGGCACAGTGTGTCTTGTAAAAAGAGCTTGTGAGTCATTTTCTACCAGGGCTAAAAGGGCTAGAGGCAAACAAAATGAGGCCAGCCGTAAGCTTGATTTATGCTTGACACATTTACTTTCCGCTAGGTGATGCGGCTCGCGGATGGAACGCGCATGACTTGTTTCTGCGGTGAGCCAATATTCTCCCAAACTGTAGGGGGCAGCATGGAGCTCTACGGCATGCATCCAACACTACACCATAGTAGAAGTAAAAATTACTATTGTTTACAACATGGCATTCCAGCATTTTTTAACAGCGTCCTCGTCTTTTCCGACAGTGCGAGCTATTTCTCTCCAAGAATTATTAACAACATGTTGATCACGGTGACCTCTGAGAGCTGAATCATACAAATGTCTGTATTTACGAACCTCTGCCATACTAGTTCTTCCCAGTCCGCCATGTTTTTCCACGTCCGACCGTCCACGTGGTTAGAAATTTTCCTAGGTGCACGGTGCGGAAAGTTTGGGCCGTGCGGAGGCGCGGTGGAGGGGCGTGGTTGCCGCGCGGAGCCGTGCGAACCTCGCGGACGCGTCAAGCATAAACCAAGCTTAAATGACTGAGAATTTTAAAGGTCCCCAACATTCCTCCACATTCCAATGGGCCATTGTCTTTGCTCTGCACAGATAATGGCTACATTTACA